AGAGTTTCTTTGATGAATGAAGGTGTCTTAGAGAATAACTTTGATGAACGAAGATGTCTGAGATTAACTTTAGATGTCTCTGAGAATGTCTTTGGATAACTTAGAGATTAACTTTGATGTCTTTGAAACAACTTTGACGTCTCTTGGAATAACTTTTGTGGACATGAGAATATCTTTGGATAACTCTGAGATTAACTTTGATAGCTCTGAGAATAACTTTTATGATTTTGAGAACATCTTTGATGTCTTGGAGAACAACATTGATGTTTAGAGAACAACTTTGATGACCAAGATTAACTTTAGATGTCTCTGAGAATAACTTTTATAACATAGAAATTAACTTTAGATGTCTCTGAAAATATCTTTGATGACTTCGAGAATAACATTTGATGACTCTGAGAACAAGTTTGATAGCTCTGAGAATAACTTTAGATGTCTCTGAAAATAACTTTGATGAAAGAAGATGTCTTAGATTAACTTTTGATGACTTTGAAAACGAGTTTGATGAACAAAGATGTTTTGAAAGTTTCTCTGACGAACGAAGGTGACTCTGAGAATAGCTTTGGGTAGCTCTGAGAATAACTTTTGTTGTCTTAGAATAACTTTTGATTGTTCTGAGAATAACTTTAGATATCTCTGAGAATAAGTTTGATGAACGAAGATATCTTACAGAGCAAATTTTATGTTTCGAAGAATAACTTTTGATGACTGGGAATGACTTTGTTGTCTTAGAGAATAACTTTGAGGGCTTAGAGAATGTCTTTGATGAATGGAAGGTTACTTAGAGAATAACATATCATGACTGAGAATAACTTTTGATAACTCTTAGAATAACTTTGATGTCTTAGAGAATAACTTTAGATGACTTTGAGAATGTCTTTGGATAACTCTGAGATTAACTTTGATGTCTTTGAAACCACTTTGATGAATTGGAGAATGTCTTTGAGAACATGAGTAGTATTTTGTTAGCTCAGAGAATAAATTTTTGATGACATAGAGAATAACTTTATGTATTAGAGAAGAACATTGATGGCTTAGAGAATGACTTCTGAGAACATGGGTAGTATTTGAATGCATCTTTGATGTAATGAAAAGTAACTTTGATGTCTCGAAGATATCTTGCAGATTAACTTTGATGACAGAGATTAACTTTTGTTGTTTTAGAGATTAATTTTGATAGCTCCAAGAATAACGTTTATGCCTCTGAGATTAACTTTAATGAACGAAGATGTCTTAGAAAGTTTCTCTGATGAACGAAAGGCTACTTAGAGAATAGCATTTTGATGACTGAGATTAACTTTTTGATGACTCTGAGAATAACTTTGAGGATGCGAGTAAATTTGAGTGTTTGAGAGTGTCTTTTGATATCTCGAAGAGTGCCCTTGAAGTCTTAAAGGATGTCTTTGATGTCTCGAAGGATGTCTTAGAGTGTAACTTTGGTGTCTTTGAGTAAGTCCTTAATGTATTGAAGAGTGTCTTTGATTTCTCGAAGAGTAACTTTGGTGTAACGGAGAGCACCTTTGACTATTTTTCTTACTTAGCGACATATAATTTTAGTTACGAAAGTGTTGAAAAAGTTACATTTGACTCTTTTAGTTGAGGAAAAAGACAAAATATGACGACAGTGACTATTTTTTAGTGCTCCACAAAGTATAATGCCAGTTAAGAACGACGATGATAGATATCTTTGACTATATTTTCTGACTTGACGATGGATAAAGTTAGTTATGAACAGTGCTGAAAAGATTCCTTTGACAATTTTTAGCTAAGCGAAAGGCTGTTTTAGTTAAGAACAGTGTTGGAAAGAGACTACACATGACTATTTTCAGATGAGAGAAGTGATATTTCAGTTAAGAAATGACAAGGAAACACGATGAAGTAACTATTTTTAGTTGACCGATGAATACTTTTAGTTGAGCAAAAGCCAAAACATGATGAACATGACTTTTTCTGATGATTGGCGGATAATTTTTAGATAAGAAATGACAATGAAACATGAAGAACACGGTTATTTTCTGATGACTGGGGAATAAGTTTAGTTAAGAAATGATGAAAGTTATTATTTTTAGTTGATTGACGATGGATAAAAGCTAGTTATGAACAGTTTTGGAAAGTTTCCTTTGACAATTTTTTCTTGATGAAACATAGCGGCTGTTAAGAAAGTGCTGAAAGAAGTTTCCTTTGACAATTTTCAGCTAAGAGAAAGGGTGTTTTAGTTAAGAACAGTGTTGAACGAGGTTATTTCTGACTATTTTTAGTTGACTGGATAATAAGTTTAGTTGAGAAATGACGAAAGTGACTATGTTTTTAGTTGATTGGCGAAAGATTTTTAGTTAAGAAGTTACAAGAAAGGTTTGTCTTTGTAAATTTGGAACTGAATAAATTGTAGATTTGTTTAAGAATATGGCTGGTAGAACTATTAAGTTGACTACGAGAATTACTTTGACCTAGTTTTTGCAAATAAAAACTTGGTGACTAAAATTGTTGAGGAAACTGTATTGCTGATGCTAATATTTGACAAAGAACTAGTTAGTGAATGGAAGAAACAAAGAACATAAAAAATTGAGGTTAAGTAGGGGAATGAACACAGTGAACATACGGTGAACACAGAAAACATGTAAGAAAAGTTGATGAATACAGTGAACATGCTGGGAATATGAACTTACAGAGAACACGAAAACATGATAAGGAGAATAGGGAATACAAAGAATGAACAATGGACTTGTGAAGAACATGGAGAATATGACAAAGAATGTAGAAAACATGTAAGTGAAGGTGAAAAACGAAGTGATCTTGTGAGGAACATGAACTTGTAGAGGAACATGAATATTGACAAAGAACACAAAATATGGAAGTTAGCATGAATATTGAGTATAAAAGTTGTAAAGAGAACATGTGATGAACATGAAAACATAGAAAATATGACTAGAATTTGTAGAGAACATAATGAGACTAAGAGAAAGAATAAAAAATGGAGATACTTGTGAAAATATGAACTGAATGGGACTGTGAACATTTGAAGAACATGGAGTGAACACGGATGAGAATACGAAGAACACAGTGAATATAGAGAAAATATGCAAATACAGTATGATTATTGAAGGTTTGGATACGTTGGGGATTGATACGTTGGGGATGAGAAGGGTAAAGTAATTAGGATAAACAGATAGGCTGGAGAGGGACTTGATCGAATATATTTATGTCTGATGATCTAAGGCTGAGGAAATGGAGCTTGGTTAATGCCCTGATTAATTTTACTACGTTAGAAAATAAGGTGATCTTAAATCTCAGGATGATTTAGTTGGAAATAAAGAACTTGCACAAATGAACTAAGCTGGGGCACAAGAGTTGAAACTTGATAACTGAACTGGTTTTTATTTACTATGTCTGAAAATGTAGTTGGGTGATTTGGACTGAGAGTAATGATTTTACAAAAGTGAGCTTGGACAGAGGACAAGAGCTAGTTTTATAATTGTTTACTTCATATTTACTATGTCTGAAATACAGAGGGTAAAAAATTTCAGGGAAATTGATGGTTTATTTACAAAGACTTGAGGGTGGAAGAGGGTGGGGGACGAGAGCTGGAGCTCGATAACTGACTTGATTTTATTTACTAACTTTGAAGTATGTCTGCTTTTAATTTTAGGGAAATTGATGGGTTATTTACAAAGATACGAAGGAGAACTAAGGCGGGGACGAGAGCTGGAGCTGACTTGATAACTGACTTGATGATTTATTTACGGTGTCTGAAATACAGAGGGTAGAAATTTCAGGGAGAATTTGCTCGTGGATTTTATTTACGGTGTCTGAAATACAGAGGGTAACAATTTAAGGGAAATTGATGGTTTATTTACAAAGATGAAAGAGAACTAAGGCGGAGGACAAGAGCTGGAGCTTGGTAACTGTTTTGATCTTATTTATGGTGTCTGAAATACAGAGGCTAAAAATCTCAGGGAATTTGGACTGTTACTAATGATTTTGTACAAATGAACTAAGCTGGGGACAAGAGCTAGAGTTTGATAATTGTTTGCATTTACTAAACTATGTCTGAAATACAGAGGGTAGAAATTTCAGGGAAATTGGACTGATACTAACGAAGATACGAGAGAGAGCTAAGGCGGAGGACAAGAGCTGGAGCTTGGTAACTAAATTACTGTATTGAACTACATTTGAAATATGATTATTTTTAAATTTTAGAGGGATTGGAATGATAGTATTCTTTATACGACAGGGGACTAAGGTGGGGAACGTGAGCTAGAACTTGCTTACTAACATGATTTATTTGTGTAAAACTGACTTGCTTAATGAAAAGGAGCAAACATACTGACTTGCTTAATGAAAAGGAGCAAACATACGATGTTGGAAAATAGTTGAACTGAATGAAAGGAGAGAGAGAGAGAGAGGAGGGACGGTCCAGATATTATGAGAAGATAAGATAAGATAAGAGCCGTCTGGCTGGCCGGGCGTAAAGTAAACACAGGTGAGGCGACAGATTGCGAGGTAAGGGGGGGAGGGAGGGGGGTGTGATGTACGAAACCCTGAAAACAATGACTTACACAGGTGATTTTCTAAATTTATATGAATAACTAAGGCTTACATAGACGATTTTGTAAGTTGAAAACATGTAAAATATGTCCGTAGAGTTCTCCTGGAAGCCCTAAAGTGCTACACACGTTATTTGAATTTCTCCCATAAGGCTTTAACAAACTTCTAAGTCTCGGAAATTATTTTTCTCATAAGAAATCCTTACTTCTAAAATCTGCGACTGACAAAATTTACCTGAAAACCCTGGCTCCACACAGACGATATTTCTAAATTTACCTGAAACCCTTGGGGCGCACAGGGGATATTCTAAATTTACCTGAAAACCCTGGCGCCACACAGACGATATTTTCCCTGAAAAAAAAATATCGTCTGTGTGGCGCCAACCCTACTACTAGATGTGATACTTGAACACAGCTGAATAAAACTAGCTTTTTCGTTATGAAAATTATTTAATTATATCTAATTACTTCATATACGCATTACTCATGAATACAATAAATATATGTATCTTCAAAGGCGGGACGTTGGTGGTGCTCAGCTGTTACTGAGGGGCGCCGTAGCTCGTGGAGGGGGCGGAGGCAGAAGCCCTCACACTAGCACCCTCGGCTCTGGCGGCGGCGGCGTCCTCTTCAGCAGCGAAGGCGATCTGTTCCAGCACGAACTGAGGGATTGGGTGGGGGAACTCAGGAGCCACTGGCAGCAGGTCAGACTGGGGCTGGTAGCCGTTCTCGTCGGCGACGAACTTCACAACGACGGGAGTGCCGTCAGGAGCAGTGTAGCTGAGAAGAGAATATCAATAATTTAACACTTATTACTTGCTGTATAGATGAAATATTGAGAGCACTTCACTAATTACAACATGTGCCACAAAAGTAACTCACGAGTATTGTCCGGCCGTCACTACAGCGCCATCTGGGCCGTCGGGAGAGCCGGACTGGGACAAGACAATTCCGTTGCCAGTCTCCACGTCAACACTGTATCTTCCATTGTCCTCTTGGACACGATCGTCTCTCAGGATGGCCACCACCTCAACACTGTCAACGGAGACAGACCTGCTGGAGGCGGCGGGGGCGCCATAGGTGTCTGGGAGGCTGTACTGTGGGGCGGCGACAGCCATGGCGGCCACGGCAGCAAAGATTACCTGATATAATAATGAAGTTAATTTACACAAAGAAATCACTCTAATGTAATATATTTATCAATGAAAAATTTAATTGGAGCAATGAGGTAACTCGGACCAGCGATCTGGGTACTCCCAGCGTCATACCTCACCCCTGCACCACGATATGGTACAGGTTATACAACCTGGGGTTCTACTGAATCCACAGGAAGTCTGGAGGCTTGTACTGAAGCCACTCCAAGTTTTATATATAGCCCCCCATGCACTCTGGTATAGGCAAAGTAGTTCATCAACCGTACACTCTAGTTGATGAACTGTATAATGATGAACTATTTTACCGGCACTATGATTGGGGTGACATGTAAAACTTGTACTGAAGTCTGGAGGCGTCAGTAGAAGCCTCCAGACTTACTGTGGATGCAGTGAAATCCTTGGTTGTGTATAACAAATTCCATGTTGTAGTTCAGGGGTAACGTGCGCGGTTGAGAGTATCCTAATCACTGATTTGAATCATCGCAGTTGGTATTCTCATTGAAGTTAATATTTAACTTCAAATTCTCTTAATTGTAACAGTACAAGATACTTTTTGATGTATAATATACCTACTTGATATATTTAATATAACTCACTCAATAACGATTATTAATTAGCAAAATTTAGCTTGTTTGATAACAAAGTTAAAATAATTTTGCAATAATATTGAACGGTAAGCAAGGCAATTATCTGATAATTTATAGAACAATGTTAAGCACTATGAAAGATTACCTGATATAATAATTCGCATAGTTAATGAATATAAACAAACACAAAATGCAAGATTTTTCTATTTATAATATTTTTCGAGTCGAAGATAACTTCCCATCTTCCCATCTTCTTGAGGTTATCTTGAGATGATTTCGGGGCTTTTAGTGTCCCAGCGGCCCGGTCCTCGACCAGGCCTCCACCCCCAGGAAGTAGCCCGTGACAGCTGACTAACACCCAGGTACCTATTTTACTGCTAGGTAACAGGAGCATTGGGTGAAAGAAACTCTGCTCATTGTTTCTCGCCGGCGCCTGGAATCGAACCCAGGACCACAGGATCACAAGTCCAGCGTGCTGTCCGCTCGGCCGACCGGCTCCCATTGAGACACATTACGAACATTTTACTAAATTTAATGTAATTCCGTTTACTTTTAATGGACAATAGAAAATGTGACCATGGAGTGATAGAACACAGAACTCCCAGAACCTCATCCAGGTAAAATCCAGGAACACCTGTGAATGGAAGTTGGGATCACTTACGAACTTCATGGTGATGGTAGTGGCAGCCAAGTGATGCCGTGGTCATTGTAACGGGAGTTTATATAGTGGTGGACCGCCAGGCGTTCCTTGGTCCTGACCTCGGGAATGAAATGCCCTTGGTACACTCACCGAGGATCAAGTCATTCTCGCCCGAAAGCTTTCGTGTAACTGAACCTCGCCCTCATGTAAATGTATCTCGCCCTCATGTAATTGTATCTCTACATACTCGTCTTCATGAGTTGAGTGCACTCAGTCCCTCAATCATCCTCTCGCTATTTACACCCTATAATGATTTTCTTGGTTACTGACGATTATTGTTTTTTATTTTAATATTTCGTTAATAGTAATAACAACAACAATATAAATGACAATAATTACAATTATGATAAACTATAATAATATTTATTTTCATTACCTTTTTGATTAATAATAAAAAACACTTGCAAAACGATTTTCCCCCGTCTTAAAGGGCCTGATCAATGTCCAGAGTGCAGAAAGCATTTCTTAAGCTTGTATCATCCTGGACAGTCACTGGCGGTGTTAAGGCCTTTGCTTGGGTCCGTAAGTTTATGACAGACTATCGCCTTGTACTCTTCACTGTTTATTTATATCAAAACATTAAAGAAAACGATATTTATTATTTATCTAGAAAGCCTAGAAGTTCAGTGTATAGATTACAAGACGGGTATCAACCATAGCCCTGGAGACCTAACCATGTGTCTGACAGTCGACAGAAATTTTCCAAAACGATGCGAGCTAATTCCCTTGAAGTGAGTGTAATCTGATCCTAACGGCCTCGAGCTCTCTGTGATTAAACAATAAGTCTCGATCTGTGAATGATTAGAACGCAACTACCTAGAGCTGCATTTGGTCTGAGTATAACTACCTAGAGCTGCATTTGGTCTGAGTATAACTACCTAGAGCTGTGTTTGGTCTGAGTATAACTACCTAGAGCTGTGTTTGGTCTGAGTATAACTACCTCGAGCTGTGTTTGGTCTGAACGTAACTACCTAGAGCTGTGTTTGGTCTGAGTATAACTACCTAGAGCTGTATTTGATCTGAGCGTAACTACCTAGAGCTGTGTTTGGTCTGAGTATAACTACCTAGAGCTGTATTTGATCTGAGCGTAACTACCTAGAGCTGTGTTTGGTCTGAGTATAACTACCTAGAGCTGTATTTGATCTGAGCGTAACTACCTAGAGCTGTGTTTGGTCTGAGTATAACTACCTAGAGCTGTATTTGATCTGAGCGTAACTACCTAGAGCTGTGTTTGGTCTGAACGTAACTACCTAAAGCTGTGTTGATCTGAACGTAACTACCTTGATATGCATGTGATCAGACTCTAACCTCGTCGAGCTGTGTGATCAGAACCTAATCCCTCGAGATTTGTGTGATCATACTCTAACTACCTGGAGCTGTGTGGGATGAGCATCTAACTACATCGAATTAAGAGGAACTACATCTGTGTATTTAAATAAATGAGCCTCAGTTTGTCAACAACAAATTTTTCAACATTGTCGTGTAAATATAAATAACCAAGTTATTATCTTCTAAGAGGTACCACTGTAACTTATGAATCACTCTACGAGGTACTAATGAATTCTTCTAAAATGTACCAATGACTCCCTCTACGAGGTACCAATGAATCCTTCTAAGAGGTACCAACGAATCCCTCTACGAGGTAAAAACTATAGATTTATGAAATAGCATGACCTTTGGAAGGTGTCAAACCTTTAAATATCAAATACGATGGTCGGCCGACAGGAAAATTCTCTTGACTGCATTCTCAACATGGTTACCTAGAACGCACTTGCAAGTACACCGTAGCAATATAATCAACCAACAACCAGCAATTCTCGGAGATCACCTGAAAATAATCTTCACCCAAAGTTTATTTTTCCATCCACCAAATTTCAGAATAATTTACAATTCAAAAAACAGGTAGCCAACGGATTTGTTTTTGTATTAAACCTACTGAACCTAACTAAACTATACTAACATAATCTAACTTAACCTAACCCAATAATCCAATCAAATCCGACATTAATTACCAGAGCAACTGGTAACAAAATTAGCTATCAGAGCGACAGGGACTGAAATTTGCTCCTAGAGCATCTGGAATTGGTTTTGTCGTTGTTGTTTTAGATTCAGTTACTCGGAACAAAACTTCCAAGCAGCACCTACTATGGTGAGTCCGTAGTGGACTTTGAGGCTGTTATCATCTTCCAGAGCACCGGGGCTTACTTTATCCTCGAAAGCAGCAGATGCTTATATTAAGTTCCAGAGCAATGGGGGCTGACATTAGCTCAGCCATAGAGGATTATGTTGGTTTAGTGAATGGCAAACCTCTGCCATATTTTAAATATCATGCAGTATGCCTCTTACTTCCACACATTAACTTGATATTTTGAGGAATACATTTACCTAACCTAACCTAACTGTAAAATGAATGTACATGTGCTCGGCAAGGTCAGCGTTGACTACCCGATGCTGCTGAGGCTTTGCTGGTTGAAGATCTTTGGCTTTGTGGACTGCTGGTGGACGTGTAGTCGTCCATTATATTCTTCTCCCATCAGTAAATCATACTCACACCACAATAACATTCCAGATTGCACAAGGCAACTTTAGATAGTTTTAGGAAGTTCTCAGTTACTAATTAACATTGTAAATTTAGATTTTTGTAAATTTAGTAGTAGCCATGTAATGGACCGCAAGGCCTGTAGGCAGTGATATGAAGAGGAGAGTGATTGTTCCCTCCATGGACAAGTAACATTTAAGGTAATTTGTGGTAGACAAGAAGAGGTGCAACATTATGTTATTAGATGCTTCGTGGAAGCGCAGATAAGTGGTGCCTCACAGTGACGTTCAGTGCCCTCTAGTGTGTGGACGCAACGAACAACCAAACTGAATGAGACTCAGCAAATTCGTGATAAACGGGAGTTGCCACATGCTGATATTTAAATGATCACTGTTACCCTAATCTTACCTTACAGTGGTGGATTTTGGATCATGGATACCAAGAGGAGTATTGCAACACAGTAACACCTAGAACGTAAATGCCAGTATCAACTAAATGAACTTGGTGAACATTAAGAGCCTGGAATAGGCAACCTGCGAACAAGAAATGAGATTCGGTTGACATTTTTTTAATTTATATTTACATGCAGAACATGCTCATCAGTACAGGAAAATAAACACGAGAAGACTAATACAAACGTACATAACCATATGCCGGAAGAAGACACAAAGACAGAAACACGTATCACATAACATGAGAATACGACATGGACAGAAACCCAAAAGTGAAGAAAGACACCCCAACAGGCCAAACGAGCCCACAGCAAACACCTCTACACTTATTTGTCCAGAAACTGTTTTCTCGGAAACCGGAGACAGTACGCCTCCCAGCGCAGCCACTGCTCAGGATACTCATCACGACAAAACCGCTGATAAGGAGGCACCATAATTTCCGGTACTCGAGGGATCCAAATAATATCAGGCAGAACGGGAAGCAATGCCACCCGTTCCCACAAGACGGGCAGCCGGTCATCAGTCGAAACAGTAGTAAAAACATCAGTCAGATCATCAACAGGCCGCAGACCAGCACTAGGCACGGCACCCGTCAAAGGGGCAACCGCACCCCTGGAACGGGACGGCAGTACGGAGGCCGGCATGACAGCCTGCGGGAACTCAACGGGCAGCACCACGGCAGTCGACGTGTCAGGGGGCAACACCAAAGGGGCTCCCACTGGAACAACATGCACAGGGCCGGGTACGGGCACAGTGTTACGAACCCAAGTCCACCGTCGGAACACGGAGCAGTGACGTCAACGCCATCTGTCAATCCGCTCCCGAAACCCCCTCCAAACGGACGACGCCATCTAGTTGTGCCGAGGATATACCAGCTAGACAGGCTAGATTCTTGTCCTAATCGGCTCGTGAGGTAGCTGGTGCTGACCTCTGGTGAGGTGACGCTTAGAAAAGCAGTGCCATCTATTGAGTGACAGGGTGTACATCTATGTCAGCCAGTAAGTGATGTTTCCTAGTGGTCCCATATAGTGTCCCAGTACTGATGACGTGTCTGCTTTCAGAGTCAACCTAAGACTGCTGTGATTTACGAGCAGTCAGTCTACCCAAGGCAGCCAAGGTCTCTTCACCAGTCTGCTTTGTAGAAGCTGTGAGCCACCCCTGGACGAACTCTGCTGAGTGTGCAATTATCTGCCTGAGGAGAGGCAGTGATGGGATTCGCCATACCCGGGGCTGGCTGGTTGGAGAGACAACCCACTGGGGTGTCAACCGAGGAGAGTGGCCAGCGGGTTACATGAGGCTCCTGCCTAGGGCTCGCAACCCAAGTATTCGTCGTGAAGTGGCCTAACAGCGAGGCTGATTGGTACCTGCCAGCTACAGGCTGGACTGTTGTTGTGGGCCTTCACGACGGGGCACCCAGTGGGATTGTGATTTGGCTGGCCTGTGGCCAGGGTAGGTTCATCGTGGGTTCTGGGTTATGGAAGAGGAAACCAGGCAAGACTACAGAGACCAGGCAAGAGAAGGCAGAGGGTCAGGCGCAGGAGATGGAGAAGCACAAGACGGTGGAGACAGAGAGGGAGCACCCTGGAGACCCATAGCAGCACCAGGAACGCCATCCGGAACAGTACCCCCCAACCGAGGGCGACACAACCCCCTGGAGTAGAAACCCCACCAACAGCAGCCACACCGTCCGACACCACATGCGACACAGCAGTTACAAGGTCGTCCACAGTCACACCCACCGAGGCCTCCACAACTAGCGGCGGGAAATCTTCCTCATGAAAAAGGTTCAACGGAGCGACGACATTCGAGGAGCACCCAGCAGCCATGTGGTCCAACAAACCACAGTGGAAACAGGTGCGTGGCTGACGTGCGTAGTACACACGGACGTAATACCCCATGAGCCGCACAGAGGACGGTATGTCCGACCGCAGCTGCATCCCCAGAGTGCGAATATTGGCCCGAACACTCTTAAGTTTCCCAAAGGAAAGCATATGCAATCTGACACTCACGACAGTGCCATACCTCCCGAAATTCCTCTGCAGCAGCTCCTCCGGGAACTCGAGGGGCGCACCATGTACACTAATGAAGGTAAGGGCACCACTTCGGTTGGAGACAACAACCGAACCAGCAGCGTCCGGCAGCGGAAACGACCGCCCCTCGTAACGGCACAAAAACGCCCGGTAATCCTCTTCTGCAGCAAACTTCATGATAGCACGATGGGAAGACACCAACTCCACCTCATAGATCGCAGCCACATAAACTCGTAGCATGTCACACAACACCAGCTCCACTGCCGGATAATCAGCCTTGCCGGTAAACTCCAGGCCCACTCAGGCCACGTCAGCGCACCACCTGCGGTGCGCCCACTACCCTGGGCAATCAACAACTGGACAGACGGGCGATGAACAATCATTCGCCACGCCACCCAGAACGCAACTCCCATCATTCGGTTGACATGGTAACAAGGATTCAATAGGTATGCTGGACCTTTAAAACTGGGAGTACGTAAAGCTTTCTTTGACGTGTATAACAAGGACTTTGAGGTTAAGCAGTTGACTTGTGTACATTGCTAATCATTAATGTGAGCTTTATGATGATCATGTTCATTCATAAGTAAAGTATCAGTATAACAGGAGTCGGTGGAATTTTATGAGTAGCTCGGACAAGTTCCTGGATTTGAAGACTTTAATTCAGTGGTTCCCAAAGGATGCGCCGTGCCACATTTGCACAGTGAGAGGGAATTAGCAGGGAAAAGCGCTAAGCCGTTAGGACTACATAGCACTTGGAAGGGATAAGGAAAGGATTTGGGATGGGACGGGGGGAGCGGAATGGTGCCCAATCACTTGGACGGCCGTAGATTGAACGAAGACCTGCATGGGGCGGCGCGAGAGAGGAAAGTAAGTGTGGTGGGAAGATTCAGGGATAGTCAGACACATAATGTTGCTAACAGGGATTTTCAGCAGTGACAGATATTAAAGACCAGAGAACGGAAAGGCGTCTTTGAAGGGATGAGAGTTGATTTTAGAGCTAATTAACGACCCAATATAAAAAAGATTACCCCGACATTGACACCTCTCATTGAGTTTGTATACCTAAGGTTACATATGCAAGAGGCTCGTCTTGCAATGTAACAATTATATAATATATATAATGTAATTATAGCTTAATCACCTTGTGTGGCTGAGTGCTTAATAACTCAGTATGGATTTATGTAACAGCTCTTTTGGTTTGGCATTGTAGGATTGACGAAAATAGTATGTGCTTGTTACAAATTTGGTTAGCCATTTAAAAGCACTTAAATCACAGTCCGTAAGTGAGTGTTCAACAACCCATAATATGTAATAGAGCACATCTCTAACCTCATCTGTGTTGCACAGATGCCAATGCATGAAAGCCATTCAGTCCCTTTCTGTGGTCGAGTGTTCAGTAACTCTCCCAACTGTACGTTGTTTAGCACATCTCTGTCCATGGAGGAAGGAGGAAATGTATATTTTGCAGGCTAGCATTTTATGAATGAATGGACATGTCTATCGTAGAAAAAAAATCTTTAAACACCTTGGGGTTGTATTTTTAATTGCATATTTATTTTTGATCGATTATTAATTTTTTTTTGCTTCAGAAAAAGATCTCTGACTGTTTATTTGTCCTGGGGAAATTATGATGCCTTTGGGTATTTTAGGATTTTGTCTTTGGTTGACTCAGCCAACCGTTCCGTGTTTGACTCAAACACGGAACCAGACGTCTTGTTTCTGGAAGGATTGTGAGTCCAGCGCATCAGATTGCTATAGATTTGTGCATCAGACTGCACAAGATCTGAGACTCAGATTGCTCTTGATTTATGCATCAGATTGAATAGGATGGCGTTACAGTTGTGCATCCGATTGCACTTGATCGGTGCATCAAATTGTTTTAGTTTGTGCATCAGATTGTTCTTGATCTGGGCCTCAGACTGTTCTAGAACTTGATGTGGCAAAAAAGCCTGAATCGCCGTTCGATATGTAGCGTGTCAACAGGGGATTGGTACACGGAATGCAATTAAAATATATCAAACAGGTTCAGCAAAGGAGCGATTTTTTCTTCCACTTACTGACTGTCTCTCAACAGATGAACTACGTTCTTGAGAGCAGTCGACAAAAATAAGATAATATCTGCAATGCGAAGTTAGGCTTGGGAGTTTCTACTTCATAATGGCCTAATGGAGAAACAGCTTATTATGCAATAAAATCTAACATACAGAAGCCTCGCTGTTCTTTTGAACGTTTAGATCCAAGGTCTTCCTTGCATAAAAATCCGATTAAATTTGCTCTCTATCTCAGGTCAAGTGGCGGTTATATATCACTGTATAATCAACACTAATTTAAAATAGTTATAATACTGACAATGGGGAATACATGTCCTGGGGAGAGTAGGTGTCCAGGGTGACCAAGTGTCCTGGAGAGAGCAGGTGGGGAAAGTAGGTGTCCAGGGTGTCCGGAGAGAGAACAAGTGTCCATTATTTACCTCGTCATCTCTAAACACCTCGCTCGGATGCTTAAGTGGATAATCAATGACACGTGTGATGAATCATGTTCAACCAGACCTCGCCATGTATTTGATTAGCCTGGTAGACTCATGTTACTTGCAGCGATGGATGCATTGCTCGCGATAACACCAGAGCGTCCCATCAATCACACGACATCAATTTCTTATAAACTCACACGAAACACAGCTGTGGCAGCCACTAGAGAGGTAGCCGTGGGGACAAACACGACTCACCTTACCTGCCCACGACAACTTTCGTAATATTTAGAACATATGAACAATAAGAGGGAACTTGTGACGATACCAAATACACACTGATCCATCCGGCTCCACCCACTCTCCCCCAGCACACGTATCAAGAGCCTCATGGCCGGAGCAGACTCACCGTGACTCTCACCCACTGCCTCATTCTCTCTCTCTGGGTGTCACACCTCCAACACAGAACATAAACTTGTCTCTCTGTCAACTTAAATATGCGGGTTTAGTACACATTTTGTAGACATATTTTCAGCGTTAAACTGTCCGCGTGAAGACGAGTGTAAGATGTTTTAGATATTATTATACATATACATACACATTGCATTATATATATATATATATATATATATATATATATATATATATATATATATATATATATATATATATATATATATATATATATATATATATATATGCGAACAAGCCTGAATGGTCCCCAGGACAATATGCAACTGAAAACTCACACCCCAGAAGTGACTCGAACCCATACTCCCAGATGCCACGCAACTGGTATGTACAAGACGCCTTAATCCACTTGACCATCACGACCGGACAAAATGAGGTGATAGCCGAGGCTATTTGAACCACCCCACCGCCGGCACTCGGATAGTAATCTTGGGCATAGCATTTTACCAAATCACCTCATTCTTTGGGGCACACGTGAGGAACACAAATGCGAACAAGCCTGAATGGTCCCCAGGACAATATGCAACTGAAAACTCACACCCCAGAAGTGACTCGAACCCATACTCCCAGATGCCACGCAACTGGTATGTACAAGACGCCTTAATCCACTTGACCATCACGACCGGACAAAATGAGGTGATAGCCGAGGCTATTTGAACCACCCCACCGCCGGCACTCGGATAGTAATCTTGGGCATAGCATTTTACCAAATCATTTTGGTAAAATGCTATGCCCAAGATTACTATCCGAGTGCCGGCGGTGGGGTGGTTCAAATAGCCTCGGCTATCACCTCATTTTGTCCGGTCGTGATGGTCAAGTGGATTAAGGCGTCATGTACATACCAGTTGCGTGGCATCTGGGAGTATGGGTTCGAGTCACTTCTGGGGTGTGAGTTTTCAGTTGCATATTGTCCTGGGGACCATTCAGGCTTGTTCGCATTTGTGTTCCTCACGTGTGCCCCAAAGAATGAGGTGATTTGGTAAAATGCTATGCCCAAGATTACTATCCGAGTGCCGGCGGTGGGGTGGTTCAAATAGCCTCGGCTATCACCTCATTTTGTCCGGTCGTGATGGTCAAGTGGATTAAGGCGTCTTGTACATACCAGTTGCGTGGCATCTGGGAGTATGGGTTCGAGTCACTTCTGGGGTGTGAGTTTTCAGTTATATATATATATATATATATATATATATATATATATATATATATATATATATATATATATATATATATATATATATATATATATATATATATATATATATATAATATACATAAACACTACATGCTGTATTGACCTCTTTCTCAATTAACCTTATTAATCCTACCAATCCCAGGGTAAAGTATATTTGTATCTACTCCGTGCGTATTTTAAATATATTAATATTGGATTTTTATTTAGCTAACATTATCAAGTAGAAAAGATAGAAATTGTTTCGTGCAGACCGAATTTATTCAAGTACGTGGAAAACAATCAATGTTCATAAATATAATAAATACATTAGGTGATCAGTGGGATGGTCTAGCAAGGTGAAGCGTCAACTACTGAGGTCTGGAGTATGTGCGGGAGGGTTCCGAGGCCGCGGCGCGGGCGGCGGCAGCGTCTTCCTCAGCAGCGAAGGCGATCTGGTCCAGCACGAACTGTGGGATTGGGTGGGGGAACTCAGGAGCCACTGGCAGCAGGTCAGACTCGGGCTGGAAACCATTTGCATTTGCTACAAATTTGAGCTTCACTGGGGTACCCTCAGGAGATGTGTATCTGGGAAAATAATTATATCCTTTAATCCCAACAGAGTTCCTGTGGTGAGTAATCGTCAGCAAACGCTTTAGAAAAAAAAACATAACTATTATCATATGTACTTCATCGATGGGAAGCTGAGTCGGGATGAGCAGGAAAATGACTTAAGTTTTCATATGTATCCCAAATTTATACATAAATAATTTACATAAAAATTACATAAAAATTTATGTACGGATAAGATGGCAAATTTATTGGACAGTGAACGATTTAAAACAGTTTTGTATATGATCAAGGTGTGATTCTCTGGATAGTTTGGCTAACAAATTTGAAATAAAAGGTATTACTACCAACATTAATGAAGAATACACTCCACAATTCCGTAGCTTACATTAAGAGCATGCACACTTACGAGAATTCTCCAGCGGCGCTAATGGCTCCGCTCTCTCCTTCGGGGGATCCGGACTGTGAAATAACGATTCCATTGCCAGTCTCCACTTCCACGTTGTACCTTCCATCGTCCTCATGAACACGCTCGTCCTTCAGAATGGGCACCACCTCCTTGCTATCGTCCCTGCCAGGGGCACTGTAGGTCTGGGGAAGTTTGTCGGGAGCAGCGATAGCCATAACGGCCACTGCGGCGAGGATTATCTGGTGAGGATGAATAACGTCAGTACATATGTAGGACAGAAACGCTTGGGCAGCATTTAATTTCACCTGATGCAACTGTTCACCTAGAAGAAATATGTACCAAGGCGTTAGGTAGTTGTTGTGTGTTGTATACTTGAAAGGGGTCAGAAAATTGGCTAAGTGGGGACCACGACAACAAGAAACCATAAGAATAGAAATAATGGCAGGGCTAATGAGCCGTGTGAAGCAGCTCTTATTTATATTCAACTAATCTGACATGAATTAAGATTTAAAACATGAATTCAGTAGCGTGTAGCAACACTATAACGTTTCTCCCTCACAGTGAACCGAGCCAGGTAGTGTGAGGACCGAGGACAGGCACGCTCAGCCTCCCCAACAGCGGCTCTCGGGAGGGCCATTACTCATACCTCACAACGGTAAACAAGACCAAATTCGCTGGAATATGATCTCATAAATAAAACTATTGTACAGTGCTATTAACCATGGGAACAAAACCAGAGGACTATTGTCTGTGATATATTCTGTGACGAGGCTGTCAGCATTCATCCCTTCTGCAGTATTACTGGACAATTAATAAACAATTCACACATTAGGTGAAAATCATTGAACTTTGTAAAGCCCGTGAATAAATCTCTGCAATATGGGAACATTTGGGAATAATCCATATTCTAATATTAGGTAGAATATCAAATGCAGTTTAAAGTGAGAGTAGACAACCAGTTGGAGAATGAGGTGCAAGATGTTAGCGATCTGCAGCGACTGTTGACAACTGAGAGTTAACTGCAGTGCATACTGACAGTGCACGTGGACAGTCTTGCTAGCCATGCTAGGACGAACAGTTGCATTACAAAGTGAGTGTAAACATTAATTCGTTCAACATCGAGGTGAACGATCAACATCATGATATAAACCACACTTCATGAAGGCAATGGCCAGCCTGCAAGAGTATTGCAGCAATGAGTGGCCAACCGCAATACAACAGCCATGAGTGATTAGCCACACGACAGCGCCCAATACTGGCCAACCACACAACACCAGCCAAAAATAGCCAATCACACAACAACATCCATAATTGTCCAGTCACACTTCAACGTCCAAGAGTACGCAACCACATTTAATAGTGAACAGTGGCCAACAACACGACAGTGTTCAGGAGTGTCAAACCACAGTTGAGTCTTCCATAACTTTCAGCACTTCCAGAGAAAAAAAAACTCACAAGCTTCATGATGGTTGGCGTTGGGGCCGACGACTGGTGCCAGAGACTGAGGCAGCAGATCTTTTATAGGGAGGAGCCTGGAGCGGTGCCTAGTCACACCTCACACGGGAGAGGAATGCCCTTGGCAGATACGTCAAGCCCTTCACCCCTGCCCTACATCCTCACTTGTCCACCTGACCGTCCACTAAATTACCTCGACACGTCCTTGTGGTCGCAGGGACACTTGATCCATCCAACCTCACAAGGCTTATCTCCTGAGTTGGCTGAATTATTTCTATTAACAATGTACACACTTGGCAAACTAATCTTCCGGCGCGCCGTATAAACTCTGACACACAAGGGGTATGAATGCGTTCTTCAATTTGTTATTGGATTAATCGAATTAACGAGAATAGGAACTTTCACCAGAACCAGTAACTCGAGGTGTGACATTTATTAACGAGATATATCTCCAAGCACAGCGTCCCCAGTAGCCTTATGGGACAACCTGTGTTTGGCCAACACTGCTAACTAAATATTTTTAAATATCTATTTGGTAAGCAAGAGGGAACAAAAAGTAGAAATTTTGTTGAGGATTTAAAGTTGACTAATACACGTCAGCTATATCTGCGATGTTTGGAATAGGAATATTTTTTTCGTAAGCAAAGACGTACTGGAAGACCGAGAAATTTGGATGCATCATAAAATACATTAAAAAGATATGGCAACAACAGCTGTTGGCAGGAGCAGAAGCAACAACAAACAACAGTTGCAAGAAGCAACTACAGCAGCCACAACAATAACAAATAACAACAAGAACAATGACATATCTATTCGCTCCTTTTTATTTTTACTTTTACGATAATCATCATTATTATTATTATTATTATTATTATTATTATTATTATTGGTGTTGTTATCATTATTATTATAATTAATATAGCAATTATTATAATTACATAAATATTATTATCATTATTTTTATTAGATTCTTGATTACTGGTGCTTCTGTAGACCCGGTGACGGTCCGTCGGAAATACCAGCGCCTGGAATTCAATTAAGATTTTTCTCTGCAAGTCGGTCATGAAATGAGTCGTATTTTCTGTGTGTGTGTGTGTGTGTTTGTGTGTGTGTAAGCACTCACACTCCCTTACGAAGCTTCGGCCACTGTGGCATACACACAGGTCACCTACACCGAGATCCCAATCACAGAGCACAGCGATAAATCTCTATCGGCAGACTTAAGAGCACTTGACGAAGTCGCAAGCTGGGTCAGGGAGGCGACCAGGACCCCACCTCCTGGTCACCAGGACCCCCACCTCCTAGTCACCAGGACCCCACCTCCTGGTCACCAGGACCCCCACCTCCTAGTCACCAGGACCCCACCTCCTGGTCACCAGGACCCCCACCTCCTGGTCACCAGGACCCCCACCTCCTAGTCACCAGGACCCCCACCTCCTAGTCACCAGGACCCCCACCTCCTAGTCACCAGGACCCCCACCTCCTAGTCACCAGGACCCCGCTTTCTGGATACCAGGACTCACCTCCTGGTCACCAGGACCCCACCTCCCACAAGTAACATCAACTCCCTCCCTCCCTCCCCCCCACTCCCTACCTGTATCGAAATGCTGTTTGATTGATATAATTATATAATATATTCATTCCTCCATAATGAGTATATCGAGATATCTATGTATAGGTACATCCCAAGCCTCTGGGCCTATTGAGAAAATAATTCGTACCGTACTAAATAAGGTGTAGAAGAGCTTGCGTGTCCGGATTGAAGACTGATATAAATCTCGATAAGCGTACAATGGTCTCTCCTGGTGGAGTCCAACGTCTGTTTGGGTCCGACTTGGGTTCATTCGCTGCTACCTGAACCAACTCTCGTTAGGTTCAATCTATGCTAAATCAGCTCGTTCTCCTTGAGTTTATCGCTACAGCCCATCATTAACACAAAGGACCGTCTGGTTAACAACGTAAAATCAAATATTGATTTATTAATGTCAATACTTGGCTTATAGCGTACTCGTTCATGTTCGAAGCAAGGATTCGAAACGTGCTTCGTTCACTTCAGCCTTTTTTGTAAACACTCTTAAAACAAGTTAACTAAACATCTTGCCTAATCCTACCTAGACATAATTATACATAAACCCACAATATATATTTATATTAAATTATATTTAAGAAAAGCCTGTTAATTATTATACAATGTTAAAGATTTATGCTATTACTTGGTTGTTCGCTGTACAACTCAGATACTGACTTATTCAAATCGACAGTAAGTCAGTATTTGACTTATTATTAAGGCTGGACAACGGAGTGCATTACTGCTACCTGTGCTCGTCCAAAAGTGGAACTCTATGCATTTACTGAAAACAAAAATAAAAATGAAATATTTGTCTGACTTTTTGCAGGATCTGTTTATCCAAAATATAAACTTTGAACATATTCAGTTGAAAGCAGTGTTAGAGGAGTGTTCGGTTGTCCTATCTCAGCGCCTATCCTGTTCTAGTATCCCTACTTTGCAATACGTAGTCATACTGGCTTAGCTTTTTTCCTATTTTTTTTATCTCTTTGATAGGAAAACAAATTCCTGTTCTGTATTTAGAATGTCATTTAAATGAATTAAAGAATTTTAATCAGAACCCGTTAACAGCTGTGAAGTAAAGAGATACACTGCATATATTTCAGTAACTCTGAAATAGTTAACACAAGTGTTCTCAAAACTGCCAGGAAGTTCAGTTTTGAGTGCCTTTCCTTTTGCTCTCTCTACTGTTCCTTAATTCAAGATATGAAAATATATGTTGGCAGCTATTGCCAAGGGAAGTTAAAACACCGCTAGAGGGTGCAACAACCATGCCAGGATTCATCAAGCATTTCCGTAACCACATATGAAACCTATACATCTTTGAACAATCGTGGCAGGTTTGTTGATATATATATTAAACAGTTTTGAGCACCGATGCACTACGAGAGCGTGTATAAGAACAATAACCTTGAGTTGTGAAGTTTCGAAGGTTGTAAACGTTTTGATAAGTGCAAACAAAGCAGCTATGATTACTAAAAAGATGTACAAGTTTCGTAAGTGGTTGTGTAAATGCTTGATGAATCCGGGCTTAGGGCTTCAATGTTGTTGCTTTGAGTGTTTGCAGAAGAGTGCTGACGGTTCAGGTGTTCACTGGTACAGATGCTGACGGTACAGGTGCTCGTGGTATAAATGCTGCCGGTACAGATGTTGACGGTACAGGTACTGACGGAACAAGTGTTGGTGGTGCAGGTATAGAGCAAATCCCATTCCAGAGTGTGAAGGTTTGGCATCTTTATAAAAATATTGGACTTGTCTCAATTCAATTTCTTGATCATCTTTTATTCCTTTTAAAAATATAAATTTAGTTTTATTAACTATCAGGCCAATCTTGAGGCATTGTACAGGTAATCTCAAGACTCGTAGAGCGCCTGGAGAATATTGGGTTTGTAAACAAGCGCCAGTATGGTTTTATTGAATGGTTGTCCTGCCTGGCACACGTCGTAGTGTGTTATGATACCAATGAAATGGTTCGAGCTGGTGGGAGTAGAATGGGTTGACTGCATGTGTCTTGATTGGTAGTAAGCCTTCGACAAGGTACCACACAAGTATAGCTGCTAGTCGAGCAAGCGGGAGAGAAGTAGACTTGGAAAAGATGAAATTTTCAGGTTGAGCTCAGAGTGACAGAGCCTGATTAATCATGGGGCAATTTTATGTACATTTGTGTCCTCTGATCTCCGATAATGATCTGGCTGTCGGAGTCAGTTCCTACATTAATGATTTTGTTGTTGGTGTCGAATGTGTGTGTGTGTGTGTGTGTGTGTGTGTGTGTGTGTGTGTGTGTGTGTGTGTGTGTGTGTGTGTGTGTGTGTGTGTGTGTGTACTCACCTAATTGTGCTTGCGGGGGCTGAGCTTTGTCTCTTTGGTCCCGCCTCTCAACTGTCAATCAACTGGTGTACAGATTCCTGAGCCTACTGGGCTCTATCATATCTACATTTGAAACGATGTATGGAGTCAGCCTCCACCACATCACTGCCTAGTTCATTCCATTTATTAACTACTCTGACACTGAGAAAAAATCTTTCTAACGTCTCTGTGGCTCATCTGGGTACTAAGTTTCCACCTGTGTCCAATTGTTCGTGTTCCACCCGTGCTGAAGAGTTTGTCTTTGTCCACCCTGTCAATTCCCCTGAGAATTTTGTAGGTGCTTATCATGTCTCCCCTTACTCTTCTGTTTTCCTGGGACGTGAGGTTCAGCTCCTTTAGCCTTTCCTCGTAGCTCATACCTCTCAGTTCCGGGACGAGTCTGGGGGCATACCGCTGAATCTTCTCTAACTTTGTCTTGTGTTTAACTAGGTATGGACTCCAGGCTGGAGCTGCATATTCCAGGATTGGTCTGACATAAGTGGTATACAGGGTCCTGAACGATTCCTTACACAAGTTTCTAAAGGCAGTTCTTATGTTGGCCAGTCTAGTATATGCCGTGTGTGTTTATGTGTGTGTGTGTGTGTGTGTGTGTGTGTGTGTGTGTGTGTGTGTGTGTGTGTGTGTGTGTGTGTGTGTGTGTGTGTGTGTGTGTGTGTGTGTGTGTGTGTGTGTCTGTGTGTGTGTGTGTGTGTGTGTATGTGTGTGTGTGTGAGTGTGTGTGTGTTAGTGTGCATTAGTTTTTTTTTATTTTCGTGCGTGTGCCTGCGTATGTACGTAAACGTATATCAATCCAGTGCTGAGGAATACCTCAAAATGAGTTGCCTCAACAAACTCGTGTTTTCAGTCCTTTCTTCACAACCAGTGCAGAAAACCCCAACATTCCGCATACCGCCTACTAATTGACTATTTTTCGCGGTCACATTTCATCTTGTTATATACACTAATTAATTTCCTTGACAACTGCTGATCGAGTCTCCTCATATCACGCCCATAATTATTGTAGTTCCTTCCCAATTGTTTTTATATATACGAAACTAATTTTTTTTGTTGCAAGTTAAAACTGCAATCAGTAGGAATAAACAGTTTTCATTACCTTCCTTTAT